CTGGACCAGATTTGAGTTGGGTCTCTGTCAACTTGCCACAAAAACACAAATATAGCACCTAACCCATGGCTTTCTCGACCACTTAGGCACTTCATCTCCAACCAGAACTTCTTGGGACTTAGTCTCTAAGACTATTTGTAACACAAAGCCAGCAAGGCCCAGAATGCTCAACCAGAACACAAAGCCTTAGATTAAGGTCTGCATTTGAAGACTGCCAGAGCATCCTTGACCAGGTGCTTAGTCCCTCTTATTTCAATCCTCCCAGATTTTGTTTTAGCAGTTGGGGTCTCCAAACTATTTCATTGATTGCTTTTTCTTTTCCCTGTATATGTAAGTAGCAAAAACAAAAAAAAAACAAGAATAGAACAAAAGAAAAAGTCATGCACAGAGAGCCAACAACAATACTTTATTCAATTTTTACAGAAAATAAGAATCATACTGTTCTTCATATTTTGACGATTTTTACCCACTTCTTTCTTTTTTTCTTTTTCTTTTTTTTTCTTTTTTTATTTTTTTTGGTCAGGGACTGTAGAAGAGCAAACCACTCTTCTCATTCCCACCCTCTCTTCCATTGACCAGAAAAAGGAAGGTGGTCCATGTAATAAGTGAAGTTCAAAAATTTTGAAGAAGTTCAAAATCTAAGCCTGTAAGTGCCTCAAGGTTATAAAATCAAAACCTAAGGACAATCAATCACAAACAGCCAATGAGGCTCGAAGCTATCACCAATCAAATAATGTCCTTCCTTTGCTTGCACACCTTCTCTACATTGTCTTGCCCTGGCTCTTGTTGTCAGAGCGCACCTAACCATTTCTAGTTTGGCTCTGTCCTGTTGGAATTAATTTTTGCTCAAATAAACTCATAACAATCTTCATATGCCTCAATTTATAATACCCTGTAAACATGACTCAGCAATGAACCTATTTTCTTTTCCTGTTAGGCCTATGGAACCCACTTGAGAGAAAGAGTATGAAGAAAGGATGCTCCAGCTAATAGCGTGAAGTCCTAACTCCACTGGAAAAGAAGCAGCCTTGCAAACTATAAGGATAGTTAAAAGGGGTTCCTATGGGAGGGATATCCTTACGGGTTTTGGCAGTTCCGTCACTGAGGCAGGATGATGATGTGGAAACATGTTTGTTCCAACAGTAATGCTCTGAATCATCAGAAAAATAAGAGGCATGCTAATGAGGATTCCTGCCAGTGGGGAAATCTCGAAGGAGACTGAACCCACTCAAGCCCTAGCCTCTAGTATGGAACTTGGACAGCAAACCCCAGCCCGTGCCAACCGCCCTGCCTTGACTGGGCCACCTCTCTCTTCAGCAGTGATTTTTCCAAACTGAGTAACTGAAACTCAGGAAGGAAATGCTGTGGGAATGGGACCAATTTGGAGATAAGACAACCTTTGTGGGCTAGGCCTGTGGGCGTCTGGTGAGATGAGTGGACTTTGGATAAAGGTGATGCTGTTCAGGAGAGTAATTGTCCAGAGGAAACCTGTTTAGGGACTTCAGTGAACAGGAGATGAGAATTTGTAGGGCAGGGGGCTGAATTTGGACTATGGGAAGAGATTCCTGCGCCCTGCCCACAACCACTAAACTGATTTTTCAAGTAGAGAGGCCTAGACACCTAATGTTTCAACAATTTTTTAAAAATTACCCACTCACTGGAGAAGGACAAACATTATATGGTCTCATTCATTTGGGGAATATAAAAAATAGTGAAAGGGAATAAAGGGGAAAGGAGAAAAAATGAGTGGGAAATATCAGAAGGGGAGACAGAACATAAAGACTCCTAACTCTGGGAAACGAACTAGGGGTGGTGGAAGGGGAGGTGGGCGGGGGGTGGGGGTGACTGGGTGACGGGCACTGAGGTGGGCACTTGACAGGATGAGCACTGGGTGTTATGCTATATGTTGCCAAATTGAACGCCAATAAAAAATAAATTTAAAAAAATAGAACGCAAGAAAAATGAAATCAAATAAATATACTAAACAATGTAAATACACACACACACAAAAATTACCCACTCACATTTGATCAAACTGAAATATTTCTTTATTAATATATTACTACTTGTATCCTGAAATCTGATTTTGGGTTACTATTATGTCTTGTTACTCTTTTTTTTCTTCGCCAATATTTCTATTGGTTTCCCTACACTTACTGTGTAATTACTGTACTAATTACACATTTTGCTATCTGATGGGCAAACTTCTCTTCATTACTTCTTAAGACTGTTTCCTACCTATTCTTGAATTTTTGAGTATTTTGTCAGGTCTTCCCAATGATCTCATTGAGATATTGGTTGGGATCACATTAAGTCTAATTAAGTGGAAAGAGACCATTTTTTCTATCTTTCTTTCCAAAGTGGAATATGGACTGTGTCTCACTTTATTCAGACCTACTTGTATATGTCTCAAAGTGTTTAGAGTTAGTCTTAATAATCCTTACTGTTGGGATCCCTGGGTGGCGCAGCAGTTTGGCGCCTGCCTTTCGCCCGGGGCGCGATCCTGGAGACCCGGGATCAAATCCCACGTCGGGCTTCCAGTGCCTGGAGCCTGCTTCTCCCTCTGCCTGTGTTTCTGCCTCTCTCTCTCTCTTTCTGTGACTATCATAAAAAAAAAAAAATCCTTACTGTTATTGTTAGGACTATTGCCAGATGTTTTATTTTTTTGTCGCTATTGTAAGTGAGATTTTTTTTCCATAATGATTCCAAATCACTTATCATTGCATCAAAAGGAAGCTATCGATTTTGGAGGGATTATTCTGAATACTGCCATTTTGTTGAGTTTTGTTTTGTTTTGTTTTGTTTTGTTTTGTTTTAGAGTGAAAGCATGTGCACAAGGTGGGGAGGGGCAGAGGAAGAGGGAGAGAGAAAATCTTAAGCAGGCTCCACACCATGACCCTGAGTTCATGACCTGAGCTGAAATCAAGAGTCAGACACTTAGCTGACTGAGCCACCCAGTGCCCCTGTTGAGTTTTCTTATCAAATCAAACAGGTTTTCCACTGATTCTTGTTAGGACTCATATTATCATCATTCACAGTCAATATGATTACCTGGAATTTTCTTTCTCATTAGAAAGGCTTCTTATTTCTCCTCCATGCTCAATATTAGAGGTGATGACAATTGCTTGGGTCATTTTTTTTTAAGTGCATGATTCTTATTTAACAAAACAGAATGTCCATACTCAAGCTTTGTACCAGGGAACATAACTTTGACCTGGTGACTATTTAACTATAATCCAACAGTCCAGAGAAATGGTACTTAGGGTGGGTAGTTTGAAGGACATGAATCAGTTCTCTGGTAGTTTAGATTTTATCCCTGGATCAAATTAGATTGTCAGTGAGCCGCACACTTGCTCCACGGCATGTTGGCCCTGCATGTTGCCTTTGCAGAGGTATGCTTTGCCTTCCTCCCTTGATTTACATCAGTAATGTTATCAAACCACTTGAAAAATCTATCACAATTATTTTCAGGGGTTTTCTTTAGGTTGTTGTCCATGTCATCACTTAGTAGTAACCTAAATATAAAGACCTATGATATAAACCAAAACCAAAACCAAAATAAAACCCAAACAAACAAACACCTTCAATATTCCGGTCCCAGAAATAGTTGTTGGTATAATTCATTAATGTTAGATTTTGGGGTCCCTAGTCCTCCAAATTACACAGTCGAAAGTGTTGTAGGCTAACTACAGGGCTCTGGTAGCAGAGGGGTTGGATTAATTCATAAATGTCTAAGCAGATAAATTCTAGTGAAGCCATCCTGTTCTCTATGGAAAACAAGAACACATCTGAGTGAAACAATCAGAAGAAGGTCTCCCTACCAGATGAACAGAACAGAAATATGGCTATTAATAGAAGTCCATTTATATGAAAATCACAAGGTACATACTTGCACACCCTGAATCCCAAATCCTCTCATTGAAAAGTGGTTTATGATCATAGCTTTGGCTCTCATGAGAGATTATTAGCAGAAACAACTATATGAGAATTGTTTCTGAATTTATTATAAAACATACTGTCAAGGACCTCATCCAGAGGTTCCCAGGTGAAAATTTTCATTCCAGAATTTAGTTATGGGAAATCATTGACTCATTTCTCAAATTCCAGTGTTTTTGCCTTTGGGGTAATGACATCTGGGTGTCTGAGTTTCCCATTTCTCACCCTCTGCCCCCTCCACACTGCTAAGAAGCTCAGAACAAAATCTGCCACTCACACAGAGTGATTATATGAGACCTCAGTTGACATTTTATTCATTTTCATGAATTTGTTAGCCTTATCAATAAGACTTTTGTAGGTCATTCCAAATGTTTTTGGAAAAAAGTCCAAGTATGTGTGGCATTTCTATTGTTAGGTGTGTGGCTCAGATGAGGCCTGAGGCCTAAGATTGAACTACTAATGGGAGTCAGTAGGCACACAACGGGAGTTGCGGGGACAGCCCCCTCCTGCGGTTGACTTAAGGTAGGGATTATAACTCCACTGCTTAAAGGAAGCCAGCCAGGTTCCTCACCACCAGTGGGAAGCAGTGCCACTCAGCCTTTAAGATTACATTGGTTTCTTGAGGTAATGAAAGCCCAGTTTGCCAGATTTTTATCATTTTTCAAGAAAAACTAGAAGAATTCAAATTTTAAAGGGAATCCTGGCTTTTGAAATGAAGACAACTAGTCCAAATTCTTGAAAAGACTCTGGACCAGCAGAAGATAGGATGATGGCTGATGAGGGACAGGGGGAGAAATGAGTTGTTCAATGGGTAGAAGTTTTGGTTATACGGAATGGGTAAGTTCTAGAGATTTGCTGTATGATTGCGTACCCATCGTTAACAACACAGTGTAGTGCACTGAAAATTTTGTTAAGAGGTTAGCTCTCCCGTTAAGTGCTCTTACCACCACCACCATCACCACCATAACAAAAAAGAGGTCACACAAGGAAACTCTGGAGGTGAGGGGTATGTTTATTACCTTGACTGTGATAATGAACATCAAGGGTGTATGCATGTGTCCAAATTCATCAAATTGTATACATTAATACATGCGGTTATATGTGTGTGTATCACATATACATTTAAAAAAAAATACGAAACTCTGGACCAAGCCACCATCTTGTGACCCATACCTGGGCTTTTTGGCCCTGAGACATCTGGGAGCAGGCATCAGAAGCCCAGATACCAGGACAAAAAGTAGGAACTCTGCCACCAGGGAGCTGATGTCATAATGGCATTGAGGATCGCCCTGACTTTGACCTGAATAATAAAGCTCTCGGTCTGAGAAACCAGAAGCTAGGACCTCTGTCTCAGATTTTGTGGAAATTAGTAGATTAGTAGAAAGAGGCCTGCCCTTGAGATCTGGGAACCTGGCCTTGGTCTCAACTCTGCCACCAACAAATCTCACACAGGATTGGTGAGCCCATGGGGCTTCCTGAGGCCTCCATAGCATTCCCTGTACATAGAGGAGGTTAGGTATGAAATGTGAATCTTTCAAATTCATTATTTCCCAAAGTGTCTCATCAGAAACTCCAAGTGAGAAGGAAAGTCTTCATCATCTCTAAATAATGAACTTCTACAGAAGAACTGTCTAAATTTCCAATGTTGCCACTAACAACAAATGAACTGAATTTCAAGGGTGAGTTCCAAAAACAAATCATGATAAAAAAAAATAGGAGATGCGTGGACTCTTAATCTCCACCAAAGGAAATTCTAATAACACAACTTCCTACCAATGAATACGTGGTCACAATATGACCTAGTACTTTACTACTTTTTGAAAAGGTGAAGTTAATACTTCATAATTTATGAACAGGTGTCACTCCGACATACATTTTTGGTTACGCCTCAACTTTTTTGGTAAATAAAATCACAAACTATGACTAGCTATTTACGGTGCTTTCAGGAGCCACAATTACTTTAATTCTGCAATGATTGTCTCAAGTTTTTCTTTAACAGCGCCACAAAATTCTCCCACCTTTTCTTCTTGTTTATAAAACTGAAAGGTTGGGATACAAATGATCTCCAGGTCTTTTACCAGCTCCTCACACTCATCAGCATCCACTTCCAGGAACACCACATCCTCATACTTTAAGGATAGGGAATGGAAAAGGGGCTTGATGGTCCTGCAAGGCCCACACCAGGGGGCCGAGAAGTCCACGGCCACCAGCCTCTCCCCGGCCTCCTTGAGCGCCAGCTCAAAGTCCTCCTTGTTCAGGATCACTTTCACCAAGTCCACCTCCAGGAGTTCCATTGTCCCTGATGGCTTCAGGACATTGCCTTCTACAGGCTGGATGATTTCTTTTGAGGACTTGGGGATGTCACCCTCCTTGGGCTGAATGGTATCTTCTGAGGACTTGATGTCACCCTCTCTGGGCAGTATGTTTTCTTCTGAGGACTTGGAGGTTTGGCCGTGCTTGGGCAGGATGCTTTTTGCTAAAACCTTGGGGCTATTGATCTGCTTAGCCTGGAGAGTTTTTGCTGGCAACTTGGGGGTGTTGGCCTGTTTGGGCAGGATGGATTTTGCTAAGAACTTAGGGCTACTGCCCTGTTTAGGCAGGATGGATTTTGCTGGTGATTTGGTGGTGTCACTCTGCTTGCGCAGGATGTTTTTTTCTGAAGAAGTAGATGTAGTGTCATCCTTTCTCAGGATGTTTTTTTCCAAGGATTTGGGGATTTCACCTTCCTTGGGTGGGATAATTTTTTCTGAAGAATAGGAGGTGTCAGCCTGCTTGGGTGGGATGGTTTTTGCTGAAAAATTGGGGGTGTCGGGCTGATTGGATGGGATGGTTTTTGCTGGGAAATTGAAGGTATCATGCTGCTTGGGGGGGATGATTTTTTCTAAAAAACTGGGGGTGTTACCCTCTTTGGGTGAGATGTCAGCCTGCTTGAGTGGGATATTTTTTTCTGAAGAATTAGGGGTATCAGCCTGGTTAGGTGAGATGATTTTTGCTGAAAAATTGGGGATGACAGCCTGTTCAGGTTGCAAGGTTTTTGCTGAGAAATTGAAGCTGTTACCACCCCATACAGGCAGGAATAAGTCCTTGGGCTGCGGAGCTTTGGACTCCTTTGCAGACTTGTGCTGTAGGCTGTTGACCTGATGAGCCAAGGCCTTCTCCTGGATACCTCCTGGGTTCAAGAATTCTGGGACCAAGGGAGTCACGTGGCTGGTCAGACCCTGTAACAATGGACTTTCTGCACAAAAATAAATACATAATAATTAAATAAATAAGTAAATTAATTAATTAATTAATTAAAAATGCAAAAGAATAAACAAAAAAAATTTCTTAGCATCTCCTCCAGGGAAGAGCAATGTCATTCCTAGAGCCACAAATGTAGTTTTATAAATGATGTATGAACTTAAAAAATCGCATTCAACAGAAGACCAGGCAGTATATGATTACATGTATCTTTATGGAGGGTTGTTTTTTTTTTTTTTTAAACTACAACTTTCCTCTGCTTCAAGACTGCTGTGTACTCCAAGTACGGAGGTCCCTAAGGTGGCCCTCCTCCCTTCCACTTAACCATTAGCATCACCTTGATTGGCTTTTTCTTGTTTCTCTGGCCTCATTTTTGGTTCTTCTGGGGCTCCAGCTCTATCATTCTCCACCTCCATTTCCTTGTCCATATCTGCTTATACTTCATGCGTGTCTCATAGTGAAGACGAGGTCATACCCTCCAACTTTTTCCAACCTCTCCAACCTAACATCATAAAATGAGTAACAACTTACAGTTGGGTAGTACTTACAGCTGGTTTACCCTCTTGGTACTCACAGCAGTAGTATTTGAGAGTTTTATGACAGCCTTGGTTACTTACAATGGTCTTGCTGCGTGTTGGCCTGTGGCCAGTGCCTGGTGTGCATTCACAGGCATTATTTCCTATAACACAACAAACCACTGAGGTAAGTACTATTATGATCCCCATTTTACAAATAAGAAAGTTGAGCCTTGGACAAGTTATGTAACTTCCTCAGGATCACAAAGCTTGTAGGTGGGCAGGTTCCAAGCCAACACTCTGAATACCACACTGAACTGTTCTGTTTGCCAAAGGACAGTAACTTGAAACCAACTTTCCTACAACCTCCCTCTAGGACTTTGCAGTTCCAGCTTTCCCTTTCTGACTCACCCACCATAACCCTCTGAGTGTCTCCTCTTAACCATGTTACCCTCCTCTACAAAGTCCTGCCAGACTGTCAGATGTCCTGTTTGGGATATTTGGAAGGGAGTAGATTATAACACAGAGAAATTCCCTGAGAAGAAATGAAAACATCCCATCTTCCATCCAGATAGATAGGGATCCTAAAGAACAAGTACATGTGTTCTGGCCTCCCCACTCCAAGAACAAAACCTCAGCATGGATACACAGGTTAGATGTGTTCAGAGGGAAGCTGATAGCAGAGGAGTATTTGCCTGGGCTCCATCTGGGAGGCCAGGAAGCGCCCACATCCTGTGGACTCCACATTAACATAGAGGCATGGGCCCCTGGCAAAGGGCATGACTGGGTCCTTGGACCTGGGGCAGGCTCCTGGCCCTGCAGCCTGCTGAGCACATGCCAGGGATCTAGAAATCCTGAACAGCCTGGAGTGGGGCTGTAAGTGTCCTGGGAAGACCAGCAGACCTACAGGGCCCTCAAGGAAGATAAAAGAAGCCACTATGAAGGGGGATTTGTGACCAGAGGCAAGGACTGGAGTCAGAGGCTCGACCAGTGGGTAAAAGCATAGTGTTTCACCCACTAGATGGGACCAGTGGCTCTCAGCAGTCCTCAATCTAGGGCCCAGGCCAGACTAGCCACTTCACACGGGAAACCAGAGGCAGAGGGCTGGGCCACAATGAGGCCACATGGCCCTATGCACCCAGATATCATGGCAAAAAGGGAGTAATTGGAAAGAACGAATTGCTACCAGTATGAAAAAGTGTGCAGCAGGCTGAATTTTCACAAACAGACAGATTGAATCCTGACCCTCACCATTTCTCCTCAAATCCCTTTGAGCTAAAGCTCATGAAGAAAATAGAGACACTGTAGGAAAATTTAAAAGCCACATTCTGTTTGCACATCTTCATAAAAGTGACTGTGACCCTGTTGCACTTATCCGTGGGAGAGCTGAGCTGTGTTTTAGATTTGGCAGGACGGTTCCAATTATTTCTACCCTTCATTCTGCAACTCAGATGGATTCTAAGCAACTTGAAATATCAATGCCTCTGAATAATTTTCATTCAATTTGTCACAAAATGTATGTTTTCTTGAAAATATATTTTTAAATTTACTTAATTGATTTATTCATGAGAGATACAGAGAGAGAGGCAGAGACACGGGCAGAGGGAAAAGCCGGCTCCCCATGGGAAGCCCCAGGCGGGACTCGATCCCAGGACCCCAGGATCATGACCTGAGCCTAAGAGAGATGCTCAACCACTGAGGCACCCACGGGCCCCTTGAGAGGGAGAATTGTAAGCAGGCTCCCACCCAGCACAGAGCCTGACCTAGGGCTTGACCTCACAACCCTGGGATCTTGACCTGAGCGGAAATCAAGAGTCAGATGCTTAAGCAACTGAGCCATCCAGGTGTCCCTGGACATGTATTTTATACCTTGGATTATAATCCAGTACTATGAAATTTACTTTTGCTCAAATTATCCCGAATTTGGCCATTGAGAACTCGTTCAGATGGCTCCTATGTCCTTTTGATGCATACATACCTGTAGTTTTGTCTTTTGAGCACTTCCTTACTTTTTGGCACTACAAGATGCTGTAGGCTCTTTCTATAGATTTATCACTATATGCCTAGAATCATCCATTTCTTTCATGACCCTGCTTCCTTTTATTGGAAAAAGGTATTTAGAAAACAAAATCTGAGCCAAGTGTGCACGTTGATCCTGGGTGCCATTGCCTTCAGACTCAGCATAACTAGGAACTATACATAGGTGTAGCTAACCTGTGCATATACACAAATTTATAGTTATTTCTATATCAGTATCTGTATTAAGCTAAATATGAGTTCAGATTGATGTCCTTGACTTTAATTCAGTACCACATGGTTCACTGTAGCCTTTCTCCCAAGCTTGTCTATAACCTTATTCCAAAAGTGACTTGATTCCCACCATCTGTTATGCATTTACTTATTTGTTCAATTCCCGTGTAGAATGGTTTCAGGTTAGTTAACCTGACCTTCCATGGTTAACAACTTCATCCCCTAGAGTTCAGTGCTTATGTATGGTATCTTTTGTCTTTAGTCTTATCATTTCTAGTCATTTCCAAAGTTACTTAGGCCAGCCTCTCTTTTCCCCCACCCTTCCGTGAAGTTGTACCATATATCTGTAATAGGTGTATTCTTTTGTCACATCTGCATTTCATTCTGGGATCCTCTGTCCTCTGGATCAATTTTTCACATATGTTGAGATTCACTCTGTGCTGCGGAAGCCTATAGGTTTGACAAATGGGTAGTACCCTACAGTGCCATACAGAACAGTTCCACAGCACTAAAAAATGTCCTGGAGCTTCACCTAGTCAGCGCTTACCCTCCTGCAAATTCATGGCAGCCACTGATTTGTCTCGGTAGTCTTGCCTTTTCCAGAATGTCATATAAATGGGATCCTATAGTAGGTAGCCTTCTCAGATTGACTTCTTTCATTTAACAATATACATTTAAGATCCCCATGCTGACTTTTGTGTCAACAGTTTGTTTCTTTTGATCACTGAAGAGATAATAATGCACTTTAAACTATGAGAAACAGATCTAGGACAAGATTTTGAGTGCAGGTAGTTTATTTGGGAGGTGATCTCAGGAGACACCGAGTGGGGCAGTGGGGAGGGAATCAAGCCAGCTGTCACTGTGAGCATTCAGGGCCACTCCCACTGGGGGCTGGGGTAGGTACAGGCAAACCTCAAGTGATCCTTCCTTCTGAGTGCTCTTTCCAGGGGCATCAAGCCTGGCACTTCTAAGCAGAAGCGCATGTACATGTGCTTTACCTGTCCTTGCAGCCACCTGAGAGAAACGCAGGTGTTTGCAGTAAGTAGTCATTTGAGAATAGAGGTGACAAGCTGTGCATGGAACATGGTGTCAGCAGTGTCTCTTACAAGAGATGACAAGTTTGAGCAGAAGGAAGTTTTGTTTGTAGAGTCTAAAACCCTAGCCGAGGGTCCTTGGGCACCCTGCCAGCATGGAGCTAAAAGCACTGGGCTACTCTGAGCTACTCTGACTTCATGACTATTTTGCAAGAAAGAACCAGCATTCTGGAAAAGTGAGGCAAGAAGAGAGACCCCTCCTAGGCATCCTGTACAGCAGGAAGGGGACCTCAAACAAAGCAGCTGTAACTGAGGAATCAACAGTGGGAGCGGGGAGATGAAGTTCTCCTCTTCAGTGGGGTGTACACTATCTTCTCTGAGCATCTAGAGTTCCAGAGAGTGGGCGCTCAGAAAGAATCAGCTGGATGGTGTTGCCATGATGCCTTTGGTGCCTTTGGTGCCTTTGGTATGAGGCAGTCTTGGCAGACTCCCAAGGGTCTCAAGGGCTTGGGGTCTGATGGCCAGAGGGAGCCAGAGCCGGACAGGGGAGGAAAAAAATTGGATAGCCATGCGAAAGGGAGAGCACACGGAAGAGATAACAGGAGTTCCTTACAGAAGGAGCTCCATGGCCAGAGAAATTCTATTTGAACTATTTTGTGAAGCCAAGTGCATGCATAGGTGTATGTGTGTGTGTGTGTGTATGTGTGTGTGCACTCACCATAGTGAAAACACCAATTAACACCACTTCATAATATTTCATAACATACTAGCAGACAGCATTCAGTTCAGCAAGAGTGGTTGAGTATTTACACAGGATACAAATGTTTTACACTAGGGATAAATAGGTGAGCAGGCCCTGTGGTTACCTCTTTAGGGCTTTTATTGTAATGAGGAAACCCACACCATAAAATGGGGTTTCCATTCCAAAATGTAAACAATACCATTTATTTAGGTATACATGCATATGCATATATGTGTATTTACATACGTAAACATACAAAATAAAGAGAAAACTTGGCTCAACGCTATACACAGAAGTCACTATACTAATTGCTTTGAGTAGGTGAAAGGAGAAGGGATATAGGCCTGGAAAGATTGAAAGGGACTTCAGCTTTGTTCTATTCAATTTCATTTTGCTTAATTAAATATATGTGTGCAAGTATGTTACAAATGCTTAGGAATAAAATGTTAATATTGGTTAATTCTGGATGGTAGGCACACATACGTGGGTTTGTTGCATTAATCTTTGCGATGCTCTGCATTTATAAGACACAAAAGAAGCGGGTCACCAGCTCTTGCCATAAAAGAGGTGGGACAGCAACCAGGCGAGGGCCATTCTGGGTGGTGAGGATGGTGTCCCTCATGCAGGTGGCTCGTGCTGCAGTGATGTCAGCTCCCAGAGAACAGGCACCTGTGAAGGGATTTAACTAGAAGATTCAACTACAGTTTCGTGTGGTTCTAATCATGTACTTGTTAGCTGATAGAGAATTCTGCTTCAATAGAGATGCGTTCATCACAGAGTCACTCTTCATTAAGAATTATTTTGCAGTCAGATCAACAGAGCATGCTGGTGCTGTGCTCACCGCTGCAATACAAGAATGCTTAGCTTCATAGAAGCCTTCATTTCAGTACTGATTGTTCTAAGTGTAAAGTTATCTACATTTCCTATTTCCAGCCTATTTTTTGTCATTGATGTGACTGCTGTTTAAGTATTTTTTGCTAAAGAGATCAGAAAGCAATCAGGTGGGCAAGTCATTACACAGAGCTGGATTCAGTTTCTCTTGGATTGTAGTAGGTCCACCCACCACATCCTACTTTCCTTTAGAACAGCCCTCAAATCTGAAAGATGTTGCTGTGGGCCACGTAAAATAAAAAGAGCCATAAATCCATTTAAACATCTATTAGAAAATTATTTTTTTAGCCTAGTTTACCAGTGTCATAATAACAAACACTAACAAAATTCCTAAAACATTCTAAGTGCTTTGGGGGCACCTGGCTGGCTCAGTCGGTGGAGTATGTGACTCTTGACCTCAGGATTGGGTTAGAGATGACATTAAAAAATAAAATCATGGGGCACCTGAGTGGCTCAGTGATTGAGCATCTGCCTTCAACTTAGGGCGTGATCCCAGGGTTCCAGGATCAAGTCCTGCATGGGGCTCCCCTTAGGGAGCCTGCTTCTCTCTCTGCTTATGTCTCTGCCTCTTTCTCTGTGTCTCTCATGAATAAATAAAATATTTTTTTAAAAAATTAAAAATAAATAAAA